TGCATTGAGTCCTTGTTAGTTGACCAAGAAAATTAGTTGAATCTGTCGCATTGTAGAGACATGCTGTTGGCTTTTTCTTCAAATGCCTAATTGTGTACAACGATAGATTGAAGATGTGGGTCTTCTATTCTCTCATCGTCATTTAAAGTTCAGAGTGAGTGAATATGCGTGTAAAGTGAAAAAAGAATAGACGATTCTTATCTTCTGCTTTCTCAAACCACCAACTCACATCGGCATCCTTATAGAGTAATCTTGTAATACGGTTATCTAAGTCATGTATGAATTTCCGAATGACGCTGTACTCGCTGAGAATCTTCCGTCTTTATTTTGGAAATATAACATTGTCCTCTTATCTACACAAGTGTTTTTTATATACCACCCACATTCAAATAGGTAACAGTAAAGCAGAACGAAATAAATAAATACTCGTGGTAGCTGATGAAAGAATTCTGTCCACGTTCGCGAAGAAAGAAAAGAAATTACATGACTACTGATATTTCCTTACCACTAGCCAGCGATATATGGTCATGTATAGCATGTACATCTCTAAATCCACTCTCGACCTTTCCAATGTGTCAGATTTGTGAAACAGACAACGATTCGATCATCACAGTATCAACAGCAGGCAATTGGTCATGTGCTGTTTGTACTTATATTAATGGTTCTACCACTCAACATTGTGAAATCTGTGGTAATATACCGAACATCTTGCCTTCAATTAAGGTAAATATTGATTGTTAGATATTAATTAATATTGGAAAAGGATTAATAAAAATGCTAGAAAACTTACCTTCATGATCATGCTTGAGTTTTTTGCATTTTTTAATTGTATAATATGTTTTACTTTGTATCATTTAGAATGAGGATGATGGGCGATGGGAATGCCCATGCTGTACCTATGATAATTCAAAATATATTGATACATGTATCATATGTGAAAGAGGAACACAAAGACATATGGATAAAATAATGTCTGATGTTCACAACAACTGCCTCCATAACAGTCAAAGTTCATTGATCAACAGCTTCAATTCTTTAAAAAATGATACAATGATTGACAGACTTCTTACAGCAACTAACGATCATACCAAGATTGCAGTTGCTGACCCTCAAGCATTCAATAATGGTTTTGTAGAACAACGGCAACAAGCAATTAACACTCATTTCTATCGAAAAACTGTTGAATCATGGAACCCACATTCACTTCAGCAGCTTGTCGAAACTATGAAAGTTTTCTCGAAAGACTATTCGCGAGCTAATCAATGTTGGCTTAGTTTCTGTTGGATTGCATATAATATTGGCTACGATACTGTGTCATATTTTAGCAAAAATTACCCAGATCAATCAGTTGAGGAAGTATTTCGAACAAAGAAGGCTATATGTGGCGGTTATAGCAATCTATATAAATATTTATGTGATCAGTTGGCTATTCCATGTAAAGTGATAAGCGGATATGCGAAAGGATATGGATTTGAACATGATAAAAATGCATTATACGAAACGAATCATGCATGGAATGCTGTTGAAATCGAACAAAGTTGGTATTTAATAGATTCAACATGGGGCAGTGGATATCTAGATAAACACAAATTATTTAAACGTCATTTGAATCCCTACTATTTCCTTTCACGTCCTGATCAAATGATCTATAATCATTTACCAGAGAATGAAATATGGCAATTATTACAGCGACCTATTTCAAGGACTCAATATATGCAAATGCCAGAAGTTTATCCAGCTTTCTTTGAATTTAATATTGAACTCATAAGTCCACGTCAGCAAGCACATGTGGCACTCATTCTAGGTCAACCATATGGATTGGTTTTAATACGAGCACCTGCTAACATAGAGCTCACAGCACATTTTAATTTATTCGATAAGAAAGTCAATGGTGGCTGTCGGATTATATTCGACTCAAAAAAAGAACTTTACCTCTGCTACTTTGCACCAAATCGTATTGGCAAGCATGATATAACGATATTTGGAATGGATAATGATTCAGTTGAGAAATTACAGAAACCAGTGCTCCACATACCATTTGATGTTACTGAAATGATTCAAAATCCTGTGAGTTTTCCGATGACAACAAAAGCCTTTTATGACTTAAATCTAGAAGTTCTTTCGCCAAAAAAGACGCATTTGATCAAAGTCGATAATGGAACTAAAACTGCACTCATTATGATTCGAGCACCGTATGATGTTGAACTTGTTGGTCATCTCCAGGATAAAAGTCAGAACAATATTGCAAATGCGCACTCAATATACTACGACAAGCAAGAAGGTTTTTGGAAATGTTATTTTGCTCCTAATGAAAATGGTATGTTCGACGCTCATATTTTTGCTAGAAAACAATCCAATACGCAAAGATACACGCTTGTTGTCACATTTCAAATCGAAGCAAAAGAAATTTCAAAATCACCCCTAACTTATCCACACATGTGGCAATTATTTCACGATCTTAATCTCGAAGTCGAATCACCGAAAAATTGTTCCACTATTATCTGGTCAAAAACTGTTCCATATGTTGAAATTCTCATGCGTGCATCCAATAATGTTCAACTTACATGTAGTATCCATAACAATGATGTCTATGTTGAAAATGGAACATTGGCACAATTCAATAGAGAGAGGAATCTATGGCAATTACTATTTGCACCTCAACGCACTGGTGAACATAAGCTGAATATTTTTGCTAAGCAAATGACTAGTGTCAAATCTGCTGTTGTTGTTCAATTTAACATGCATGTAACAGAACTCCAACGGCCAATGAAGTTTCCCATCATTTATAGTCATATTAAAACTAGTAAAATTAGGATTTACGAACCCATTGATGGTACACTAAAAAAAGGTTCGACTGTACTGATTCATTGTATGATTCCAAACGCAACAGATGTCTTTATAATGGTTGATTCGAAATCGATCACACCACAGGAATATCAGAATTCTATTTTAAAAACAAAACTCATCGTCGGTTCAAAAGATGTTGTGGTTTACGCTAAATACGAACAAGGAGCATATTATGAATCAGTTATTGCATATTTTGTAGGATGATTCGAAAATTTTCTTTCTTGAAATGCAACAGC